TCAGTTCACCAGCTGCCTCAATTCCACCATTGTCAAAGACAACTTGGATGCCCTCGTTAACCAGGTGCAGGAGCAGAACTACACAAAGATTGTTCTCAGCAAGTTGCGAGAGGTAAGTGGCAAAAAAACTCCTGGAGCCTATCCCAGCTGGCATAGATTTAGAGGCAGGTTAGGCCCCTCCTGGAGAGCAGGTTTAACACACAGAAGCATTCAGAAAAACATAACACACATTCTGACCTACGGTCGGTTTAAAATCAGTATTCGACCAAACCCCGTGCATGTTTTTGGACTTTGGAACGAAGCATGAGAACCAGCACAGACACAGGGAGGGCATGCAAAGTCCACAGCACTGACTACTTCCATTATTTAAGCCTTAAATTTTTAACTCTGTGATAGCATGTGTCATACATGGCTTTTGTGAGTCTTTAAGACCTCAACATCACCAGGTCAATTTTGTTTCTGCTGATAAACCTAAATAAATTGTAGAGAAATGTCAGATGTAGCAAAGATGATCCAAATGGAAGGTTCAATAAACACTCCACTTTAAAAAAATATACATAATTTCCTGGCAATTACCTCATGATTCGGGCTTTACAAGGTTAAGTGATATCATCAGCATCTGACTGGGGTTTCTTCTCTCTTGGTCTCTTACTTTTTGTAGCTATTTATTTTTAAAATTCCACAGAAACACGTGAGGAAGTTAAATGATTAGAGTTTACAGTTTTTGCTGACGATCTTTTAGACGGTTAAGCATGAGTCTATACTTTTTTCAAACCCTAAATCCTTGTTTTGTTTTTGAGGTGTTTTTGCATTGTTTTGTTTGTTCTCAGCAGTTTTTCTCTTTGAATAGTTTGCTATCTAAATTTGAGTCTAAATATCTTCTGACTTTCCTAAATTTATAGGCTTACAATGCCAGCGGCATCATCCCAGAAGATCAGGTTCAGATCTTAGGAGCAATGTCCCGTAGTGCAACAATGGAAGACATCAACATGTGGAGTATTATTCAGATCGACACACTCGCTTCTTTGATGGATGCTTCAAACGGGCCTTGGGACCCGGTTCTGGTGAGCAAACAGAAGAAAAAATCTGAACGTGAGCTTACTTTACATGCTTGTGTCTTCTCACCGATGCTTGGTTCTCCTCATCAAGGCCAAAGCCATCATCTCCAAGTATCTGAGTGTAAAGGGGAACAGTCTCGGCAGTGTGGAGCTCAACGTCTTTAGAGGACCAAACCTGTGCGCCCTGGATGTTGTTGTTATCAGGAACATTTCGGTTGGAAGCATCAAGTAAGGCTTCAGAGCTGTGACTGTGCATGAGTGTGTGTGTGTTTGGAGGTTATTTTTACATCACATTAGCAGCAGGTAATATTTGAACAAGAACATGTTGGCTAAAGGTCTGTCAGGGATCCTGTACTTACAAAGGCAGGTGAACCCACATAAATCTCTAAATTATTATTTAGATAACTAGAAAAAAAAGTCTGATTTAATGATAAATAATGTTATATGAATTCCATAAACTCAACACACCGTTCCTGTGTGTTTTATCTCCTGCAGGAACGCCGATGCTCTGGACATATCCAGCTGCACCACTGAGAAAAAGCAAGAACTGTTTTCCCTCGCATATGAAGCATTTATCCCAATCACCCGCTCAAGCACTATCTCCACTACCAGTTACCAGCTCATACAATCTTACCTACGTAAGCAAACAGACCCACATTCACAAAAAACATCATTTAAACAGCTGAAAGTTAACGTAACTTTCATTTAATTAATTTAATTTTTATTAATTTTTTTCCATTCTTGCAGCGGGTGCAGATTTTAGGTTTATCCAAGACTTAGTGTCTGCCAATATCAGTATGGACGTCCCGACCTTCACTGGGCTGCTTGAGAGTGTTATACAGGTCAGTGCTGCATGTCTGCACTTTGAATTCTGAATGTTAGACTAATTTTGAAAAAAAAAAAAAAAGTTTATTTATTTATGTATTTGTGGGGTGGGGGTGGAGGGGTCTTGCATTATAGTTCCTCAATTTATTTACTTCGCTCAAACCATTGGACAGGCATGATAAGTTGTAAAACTAAATTGTCCTTTTTTTTCTGTCAAAGATTAAAGTAAGTGTGTTTATTTGCTCATAGGATAAAATGTGTCTGCTCTGTTCTCCATAGAACCTGACTGTTAGTGATGTTAAAGGTCTTCTTGGCACCAACCTCCCACTTTTGAAGTCATATGAAAATGTGACAGTGGTGCAAACCTGGATCCGTTCACAGTTTCAGTCTGAACTTAATGGCCTGGGAGTGGGGCTTACAGGAGGCAAGGTTAGCCCCACCACCACTACACCGGGTACATCATCAACAACAACATCAGGGACAACTTCAACAACAACATCAGGGACAACTTCAACAACAACATCGGGGACAACTTCAACAACAAAATCAACAACTGGATCCAACAGCACCACGGGTAAGTATTACAAAAGGTAGCATTGGGTTAAAACATTCAAAGAACAACACCTCAGATAAAGCAGCAGTACCACATTTCAACATTTAATATAGCACACTGTCTGCACATAGAGCATTCTTGTGCAGGAAGAGTGTGGGCAGGAAGGGATTTGTGTTACAAGAAGTAAAGGAAACCAAAATAAAGCATGAAAACATGAAATGTTAAGCTAGCGGTGGACCTTCTGCTGCAGATGAAATCTTTCAATTGCTCATTTTAAGCATTTTTGTCTCATATCCTGCTGTTTTGTTACGAGTATGTAAAGATCATCTTACATCAGAAGCACTGACAAGAAAAAAAACAAAACAAAAAACACATTGGTGGTGAAAGAGAACTGCAGTGTGATTAATGATGGCAGCATGAAATACAGTAAATACTTAATATTTTCATATTATAAAAAAAATAAATCCCAAGTCGGAAAAACTAGTACAAGCGCGCACTACAGCTCTGAATACAGCAAACTTGACATATTGATAGTGTAAAGATCACAACTTGATATGAAAAATGAAGATATTAAATATTTGGTTGACTACATACCACTGTTGTGAAATGAAAATGATACATTTTTAAATGGTGTTATAGGTGCACAAACACTAAGAACCATCGGTATGTGGCTGCTAGGCAACATGATGACAACAAAAGACCTGATGTAGATAAGAACCTTAAAGGGTCTGAGTTGTGCCTGTGTGCCCATTTTAGCTACTCAACTCCTGATCATGTAGGAATTTGCAGACAGACAGAGATTTGGTGTATCATAGTAAAATTTTCTTTATATATTTTTAATGATGGACAGTTGTTTTGCATACTATGCAAAATATTGTTCTACCTTTAGACAGAATTGGACCATATAAATAAATAAATTATAAAAGATGCTTAAAAAGAACTGGCAGTGATTAATCGAGCAGTGTCAGAGTTTTCTAAAAAGCCCACTTGTTGAGGCTTTTGTGTGGTTGATATGCTAGTGTTCCACAAATAATTCAGATAAAGAAATTAAATCAAGGGCAAAACGTTTTATTGGTCTCTAATGTGACTGTACGTTTCTTTCCAGGCAATGCTCCTCCAGTCCGAGACGCTGGCTTCTCTTTCTTCGCTCTTCTTGTACTCCTCATCACTTCTCAGTATGTTGTAATGTAAAGACAACTTTTCTCATGGAAGATTATTGGAATATGAATTATAAAATGGTAGATAACTGGATAAAGGCTTGAAATAATTTTTTTGTTTTAATTTATCATTAATAGAAGGAAATAATGTTAAACAGAAGGGCATTTGCTTCGTTCCTTGTAACGCTCGCTATGAACAAAATAGTGCAGGTGCAATAAGACAAATTGTAAATGATGTATTTTTGATTACTAAATCTTCCTGAAACCTTTTCATGAACTATTTCTAAGGTCATATTTTTGCTTTATTTGTTTTCTATTTTTTTTATTGTTCCATTTAAATTAAGATATTTAAAAGGATGAGGACTCAACAGAAAAATGACAGGTTCGGGTGACGGGTAACAGTTTTCATGATAGCTCTTTCTTTATTCAGTCTTACTATGAAAATGTATTTGAGAGATCAATAATAAACACATTTTAAACAGCCTTAAAACAGTCATTGGAGCTCGTTATTTGGTGTCAGTGTTTTAATATTCAAAGGTTTTGAGAGAGAAATTGTTAAAAAGGTCGCCTAATTTCATTTGTACACCAACAGCAAATTAGTCACGAGATTATCAGTTATTCAATTATAAGGAAATGTTCATTAGTGTGACCTTTTGTAAGTGTGTTTTGTTTGCAAAAAGCCATGTATAAATTGATGCAGGTCTTTGAGTTATAAGCGTTTATACACCCCAAGTACAGTCTTGCAGATAGGACAGGTGTGCTTGGCATCCTTCAGGCGGTCCACACAGAATGGGATGAGGCAGCAGCCTAAAACAAAGCTGGAAATGACAGCAGCGATGGTCAGATTTATTTACTCATATCCTTTTTATTTTCTTTTTTTTTTTTAACCTTCAAAGATCCATTCATTCATTTTCAGGACTATCCCATGTAAGGTCATATTTTGTCACCATATCAGGACATGTGGCAGCAGATATCATATTTCAGTTTTTGGACATACTTTTCAAAAGATGAAATTGTCATTTTTACATTTATCAGGTCCGACAGATTCAAAACAGCTAGGATCAATTAAAAATGTATCCCAAACAAGAGCTTGGACCTCAGTTTAAAAGCAAGTATCTGCACATGTGCATCCAGCCTTTGTGTATTTTTCAGTCAGTTTCTCGTAATTACGCTTGGTTTATTTTTAGCAGCTAGTTTAAACATGCTGGCCCACTGGTATGATGCCACAGCTGTGACAAAAAAAAAGAAAACATAGGGACACCAGTAAACATGCAACCATCCACAGAAGAGGAATCACCTTTACTTCGCCAGGGTTTTCAACGTGTGGTGCTCACTTTAAAAAAAAAATATTGGCACACCAACAGAAGTTTAATAACTAAAACCAAACATCTCCTTCTTCTTTCTATCACTGCACCACCAGCTGTGGCACTGTGGTGCTATAGCAATGTTTTTAAGTCTTAGTGTTATTTCAGTATTGTGCACGTTGGCATAAATTTTAATATGCACATAGTGGGAGAGTAATTCTACATCACTCAGTAATTTAAGTAAAACAACATTGAAGGATTGATCCAACTTGCATATCTGCAGCTGGAGGCTGTTAGCTTAGCTTAAACAGCTAATGCTATTGTTTGCTCTCCCTATGCATTCATGTACTAAACAACTAGAGGAATTACAGGAAAGATTCCTTTAAGATGAAATGAATAGGATCAGACTAGCATCAGATTCCAGCACCAACACTGATCTAAAAAATACTGTATCTGTGAGAGCTCAACGGCTTGACAGATTAATACCATCCATTGCTAAAAACTCACTCACTCACTGCAGTGACATTAATCTTTAGTCCAGCTTTTGCATGTTTTCACTTCCAAACAGTTTCCATGAGGTTTTCCAGCCACAGTGTGAGGAGTTGTATGAAATCTATAAAATTATTTTATTGGCATAGTGAAGCAAACAATGCTTGAACTATTCTTACCCACAGAAGAAGAGCCCTCCACAGAAAATGTAAGTGAGCAAACCAGCAGAGTAGTCCACCTTGGAGAGGACTATCTGATGGCAGTTCGGACAGGCGATCTGAACCGGGCTGTCTCCCAGTGGACCGACCGTAGCTGCAGAAAAACAAGGATAGAGAGCACCAAAAGAGCAAATGCAAAAACAAATCAGGTTTTTAAATAAAATCACCAGAAATTAGAGCTCAGCTTTAAGAGTAACACGGACTACATAAATACAGACTGTATGGCACAAACTCACCAACAGGAACTTGTGCATTTGCCATTTTTCCTGTGTACACACATTAAAAATGTGCATTTCAACATAAAAACTTAAGAAAATGATCAAAGCTGTCCTAAATGTAAAAAAAAAAAAAAAAGTCTGAATAACACAAAGATATTCAGTGTTAGACTTGATCTGTGAGTTAAAGCAGAGTACTTACAGTTTGGGGAGGGGGCAGGATATGTTACCACAGCGAGAAGAGGTTTCCGTGCAGAGCTGAAAGGGCTACCTTCACCGTCAGCCTCCTTTACTTAATAAGTCATGAGATCCTTGGACTCTCAGTGTGAGCCTCACTGACCCAGCCCTAACCCAAGTACTTTTATACCCTTTTTCTGACTACCATCAGTGTAGTCTTATTCCTGTGTACATGCAGTTCTGCTGCTACACCAATAACTTGGTGTAGTGTTGTAGTGTATCTGTAGTGTATCATATCTGCTGCGAAGTGCAAAAGTATGCAACCAGAGCTAAACGATGCAAAAAGATATGAAAGAGACATTTCTGAGAAGACTGCTGCACAAAACCAGTAACTGAAGCCACATAATCCTGCATTCAGAGTGAAATTAGCAGCACATGTTCCCGCTGCTCCAAATTAAATGAGACGTTTAACCACTGGTGAGCACAGCAATGTTGAATTCATGCTCATACAGTGTCATATCTGTTCTGCATTTATAAAGCCACATTCTAAAACTTGTGCAACAGCATCATTTCATGCCAAATGTTCCCTTACACACGTGTGGTTGTCGTTGGAAACTGAGAGAATTTAAATGCAGATTGAATGTGTAACAAGTAGGTAGATGGAGCGAGAAATAAAAAATGATCAGTTGTTGAACAGTTATTCAAGTAATGTGATCAAAACACATGAATGATCCCAGATCTGGGACAAATATGGATTTACAAACAAACACTGGATCCCAAATTTAGAATCAGTCGTGTCCAGGTTACAGATTAACCCCAGGACACACTGACAACGGCTTTGATGAACTCAAGAGGGAGTTTAAATTAAAAAGTAAAGACTTTTAAAGACTTCAGATTTTATCAAATTAGATAACAACTAGAAATATCTCAAGAGGAAAATGCAGTAATAAATATCTTGATTGAAGCACACAAGCAGATCGACGTTCCTCTAAATCATACCAGGGTCTTCACAAAGAGAAAGGTCGATCCAAATAGGGGGGAAAAAAGTCATCAACTTTTGGGAAATTTCAGGGGAAATCCTAGGATATGAAATCCCTAAACATGTACTAAAGCTTTGGATAATAAAAGATGATGTTTGTGTAAATTTTTAGTCATTGCTGGTCAAACAAAACAATCCAGAAATAAATAATACACTAATAACAAGAACCAACACAAATTTGACTCTAAATGTTAAACAGTGGATGAAGGAGCCATAACCTGAAGTAATCACTTATTACTACAATGATCAGAAAATGAAGGGATAAAACACACGGTCCAAGACCAGAGCCAGATATGCCACAAGTCAGTTACACTTTACATGTTGACCAGTTAACAGGGATCAGCAGTTGTCCTCCATGACCCACCACCCTGTAAGTAGAAGGCTGGTAATCACTCCAGGCTCAGAAACCCAACTCTGCCTTTAGGCTGCGGCATACAGTAAGCCCTGGCCTGCACAGAGAGACTAAATATCACCGCATCTTCATTTTACAACTCACATAAATATATTTAAATATATTTAAATCAAGTCATCTTATATCTGGCTATATGACATACCTGCACAGAGACAAAATATCACAGCAGTGTTTGTAGTGTGAGCTATAAGTAGACCAGAGTATCAGTGCAATCAAATACACACACCTTCAATTATTCCAACCCCATCACAGCCATTGATGGAGCAAATGTGACACACAAAACCAGTCCCAAACCAGTGCAACTTCCACAACAAACATGGAGATGAATCAATGTAGTCAACATTAGTCCACCGTGTTACAGGGTCATTGCAACACTTTCTTCCATCTGTGCTTGGGATGGTTGCATGGTCTAATATAGGCAAAGCTTTAGTTGTTTGCACACATGGCCTCATAATTGCCTCTAGAATACTTTGGTATACAGAGGAGTTCATGGTCTACTGTGACTGGAAGGTGCCCAGGTCCTGTGACTCTATAATGAGCCCAAATTATCACCCTCCACCGTCGTGCTTGACAGTTGGTATGAGGTATTTGTGCTCATTGGTTTTCTGTTTCAGTGCATGATGGTCAAACATCAGCTTTTTGGTTGTTCCAGAAGTCTTGTGCCTTGTTCAGATACAAATTCACAAACCTAAATTTCTTCCAAACAAGCCGTACTTGTTCAAGGTTTCCTAATTAAGCTGTGACAGCCTTTTTAAAAACTAATTTAACAATCTAAGTGACAGCTATAGTCTTAGATGTAGCTCCTGGGTTTTTTTGTTTTTTTTAAGCAGCTCCTTTTAATATTGCACTCTGACCATGGGCGGAGGTTGCTATAGGATGTTCACTCTTGGGAAGACCAGTTGATTGTTTTCAATGCATAATGATGAACTACAGCTTGTTTGGAAAGTGCCTCACAACCCTCCCAGAATGCTGCAGACCGACAAACTGCCAGACGTTCAGCTTTCACAGAGGTGCTCACACCTGTTCATGATCAGTCAATCGAGCACCTTCTTATTTCCTATAGAAGCAGTAAGGATGCAGTTAGTTTCCCACACACTGCTTCTCAATCTTGGCCTAATTTGTGTTAAATAACCAATGACACAGCATCACATGTCACGTGTTGTTGTTCATCTAACATTTTAAGTCCTACAAACGACCACATTATTTTATTTATTATCATGTCCTTACATGTAAAAGCTGGTATATCAACTGTATCTCAACACAACACTGTGCTCAAACACAAAGACGCACATCAATACAAGAAGAAAGAGTTTTAATCAGTAAAAACCGGTGCAATATTTCACATGTAAACAATTGCAGCATGTTAATAATACCTGAATAGTTACATAGAAATATTTAGTGATTCAAGGATTCTTGTAAAAATAGATCAGTTTCACAAAACAACTGTGTCCCCTCAAAAAAAAAAAAAAAATAATAATAATAATAATATCTTACAGATTGTTTCGAGTCCACTTAATAGCTCCAAACAAAACGAGGGGAGCATGTATTCAGCATGAAATTACTTCTCAGTTTTATTAGTAGCCCTCTCCCTGCAGCCAAATTCTGCACCACCAGTACTGCAAATGCATTTTAAAGTAAACAATGGAGGAAAAACATAGCTGTGTTTTACAGATTTCCAAAGAATGTGATGAAAGCTACTCATAAATTCCTAAAAGTCAGTTAGCACTGAACTATAAATGCCAGATAGGAATTAAGATTCAGAGCTAGAGTTGTTATTCAGTGTAAAAGTATGTACTTTAAAGGAATTCCTACCAGTATGTTTTTATCATTTGGATGTGTCATAAAACACTAAGGAAGCCAATCTGTTCATCATATACACACACACACACACAAACACACAAACACACACACACACACACACACACACACACACACACACACACACACACACACCTTAACAAGACAAGAACTACAAGTATGAAAATAAATCAAGCACATTAACGTGTCACATGAATTATAATGAATCAACGTGAGCCAATGCTGCTTGAATTTTAGGAATTAATGGGGAATGTTTCCAGGAGGTTAGTCATGTGACTCTCAGCTCACAGAACAGCAGGTGAGGTCATCCTGCGAGTTCTTGGAAAGTGCCCGGGGCCTTCTTTCAGAGCTTTATTTGTTTTCAAGTCCAGACTTCCTCAGTGTTTGATTACAATTTCCATTTATGCCTCCAAAGGTTAAATAGACAAATGTCACGAAGTCTGGGATTTTCACATTAAGAGTATCGTAGCCTCCCTTTCCAAGCGAGGTTTTCCATGTGAAACACTGCGTCATGGGTGAATCACTTAAACTCACACTGCAGAGTATATCACTGCTCTTCAAATGTACTAACCTTGACTTTTGGATACAGGTGAGTCCAGCCCATCCATGGTGTTTTTATTTTCTAATAAAGAAACTATCTTGCACTTGGTTTACAGTAATTAAAGGAAGCTTCATTTGGCTGCAGGGTGTGTCCAGATTCTCTTGTTATTCCTTCACAATTAAAACAGTCGATAAATCGTTGCAAGCGCAGCATCACAGCTGGGAAGTCTGAATTGGAAAGTTGGCACGGAACTTTAAAGAGTTGGACGAGCTCATATGATCACAGCACAAGAGCTCCGTGTTTTTCCTTCCACTGCCTTCCTACCTTAGAGACCGAGAACGCCGAGCTGACGTAGGACACTCATCTCTCCTTATATTCCTGCCTGACTGAGTAGCAGTGCTTCTTGGAAGATGGTAACTGTCATCTTTTCTTTATTTTTGCTTGTGAGAAAATTTACTGGGCGTTGCCTTTTGCAGTTGAAGAGGATCTCCTCATGTCAGCCTTATTTTCTCACAGCTTTTCTTGCCTCTAATTTAACCTCCCCTTCATTTCCTGGCCCGGTTTCCTTTCTCTTTTCTCTGCCTCATTCTCAGGGTTCCCTGCAGGCTTGTGCTCAGGAGGCCATATGGCTTCTTTTCTGCTCCGTCTCCTTCCTCTCCACCTCTGCCTGCTCTCTAGCCTCTGTCCTGTCCGTCAGCGCCCTCAGCAGGACCCTGAGCAGTGTGTTCTCATTCAGCAGATTTTCAGAGGCGTCTGCCAGCTCCTGCAGCCGCCTCACTGCCTCACTGAGCTGCCGGCTTTTCTCCCGGTGCTGCTCCTCTAAGCTCCGCCTCTCTCGCTGCAGCTCGGCGTTCTCGGTCTCTAAGGCGCGGGCCTCGAATTTCAGTCGTCGGTTGTCGCGCCATAGTTGCGCGAGCTGTTGGGAGAGACGCTCCCGGGCGTGATGCAGGGCTTGAACTTCACGCTGGAGTGTCAGAAACTCTGACCCAAGGAAAGGACTGTGTCCGGGACCTTCTGTCTCAACAGACGGTTTGTGCACGTGATGCAAAGAGCCAGAGTGCTGCAGGATGAAGCGGAGGAGGTTGGGTAATGTGATGGGAAGGTTGTCAGGAAACTTCACACTAAGGTGTTTTCTTAAAGAGAAGAGAAAAAGAACACAAGAGTGAAAAATATTCTGCTGAAATTCACTGATGAAAGTTTTTTTGTTGTTTTTTTAACTGAGGTGTCAAGAAGGACTAAGAATCAGACGGGTATTCGAATAGGTCTTAAACACATGAATGAAGCCACTTGAAAACTGTTTAAAAAATAAAGGCAACTTATTGCAATGTAATAATTACTAGCTACATTAACAGAGAGATCTACAAAGTAAAGCAGCTGGCTTGTAGTAGGCCATAAACCTAATCACTCATATGTGGACTATGAGTAGGACTCCAACAAAATGTATTGTTTTACATTTAGAATGAACACTTTGGCTTTTCAGTGTGTATCATTTAAGTTATATCATTATAGTTATATCATTTGCAGTTATAGTTCCACTGAGGCAATGTGAAGATCAAAGCTATTTTTTGCAGAAATATGAGATCCAACCCCCCCACCCCCCCCCCATTCTTTGGCCACACCCTTGTTTGTGCACACCTCTCTGCATTTATTCTTACCTGTATCTGGGAAAGAAAAGAATAGAGGGAACATGATCCACCATGAACTCCCAGGGGAGGTCATTACGTGCAACATTCACCCTATGCAAAGGAAAAACAAAGCTGTCATCACTTTTTTTCTTCAAAAATGAGGGTCACACTGCTAATATTCTCTCGTATGCTTTACACGCTTAATAAAATAAATATATGGGAAACTGTGTTTCCGAAATGTTTTTAAAATATGCTTTTTGTTACATTTCAAAACACAGACACCTCAATCACGCATTATACACTAACCTGACACTTTATTAGGTACACCTTGCCTTAATTCTTACTCAGGCTATCATCAAAGGTACACTTACAACCGGGACTGCAGAAAAACTGTAAACAGACAGTAACTGTACCTGGCCACGGTGATGGTTCCATTTCCCTGTAATAATCGGGCCAGCTGGATGATGATGTGGTTGAGAACAGAGCAAAATCCACACCACTGAGTGTAGTAGAACAGCAGCACGTCCTACAACACACAAATTGGCATCATCAGGAGTTTAGCAAACTACCTGCTTCCATAAGTAGAGCACGCAGCATACTAAGCCTCCATTAAAATCACGCTTGCAGCTGTAAAAAGCAGCTGTTTTTATATCTTAATGTTTTTATTTTTAGGTGCATGGAAGTTGCTTTACAGAAATTCTTAAAAGAAATTCAGAATTTCACAAACTGCCTTGATTTGCTGAGGGTGTTTCAGAACGCTTAGTCACCTTTTGAAGGTCCATGACGGAGGGCAGGAAGGAGGAAGTGGTCAACTCTGTGATGAGGAAGCGTGGAGGTGACTGCGTGTGTTCGTCTGAACGCGACGCCTCCTCTTCAGCTCCCTTCCTGTCCTCCTCTCCAACCAAGTGTCTCTGCAAGAGGCTGTAGGGAGCGCTGAAGTTCCTGATGAAGGCCTCTGCAATGAAACGCACAACATGAACACAGAATTAGCCCAAGAATACGATTCAAATGGTAAATGGCTTGTATTTGTATAGCGCTTTACTAGTCCCTAAGGACCCCAAAGCGCTCTACACATTCAGTCATCCACCCATTCACACACACTGGTGATGGCAAGCTACATTGTAGCCACAGCCACCCTGGGGAGCACTGAGAGGCGAGGATCTTCACTAGAAGAAGCTGGAACTCGACCCAGCGCCCTCATTATCCTTTTGATTTATCAGCCACTAAATGTTTGACTTTTGGTCATTAACCTGACTTGTCATGTGAGATAATATGACTTGTGATTTCTTTCAGTATTTCTAAATATCGGACATTATAGTGAGAGAGCCGCTTGAGTCTATTTTGAGTAGAGTAAGGAAGAGGATCTTTTAAAGAAAGTGTTTTTTTTGGACGATTAAAACGTTGTTACAGGCCAACTTCCTGCAAACCAGACGGCCTGAATTCAATGATTTTTATAACTTTTATGCCAACTTCACACTGTATCTGGCCAGATGTGTGCATGCACCATCACAATGTCATCAAGGACAAATGACTCATCTTTACAAAGGCCCTAAAGACATTTGTAGAAACCAGTGACTGACTGATATATTGGAGGTGGATATTTTCGGCTAATATTAACTATTTGCCAGTGTCAGTATCACCATTTATGACGGCCAATGAATGAAAATTAAAAACGCCAAGGAGACTTTAATAACAACCTTCAACCATGTTATGAGTGTTGCCACTGTATAGTTTGTCTAACAGAGGGCACTCCTCCAGCAGCTTCCCTGTTGGCAACACACACAACAACCAGGTGACCTGAAAAACAATTCAATTTTATTTATATGGTGCTAAATAACAACAGTCACCTCAAGGCGCTTTTTATTGCAAGGTAAAGACCCTACAATAACACAGAGAAAACCCCAACAATCAGACAACTCACTTTCAGCAAGCAATTGGCGATAGTGGGAGACTAATAACAACTAAAGATTGAATGCAGAGTGGTGTATAAACACATAGTGGGTGGAAAAGGGTGAGTAAAGAAAAAACACTCAGTGCATCATGGGAAACCCCCAGCAGCCTAGACCTGTTTGAGAAAAACTAAGGGAGGATTCAGGGTCACCTGATCAAGCTCCAACTACGTGCTTTATCAACAGTCAAAGTTTTAAACCTTTTTAATCTTAAAATTAGAGAAGGTGTTTGTTGGCTGGATCCAAAGTGTGAGCTGGTTCCACAAAGAAGGGTCCAAAAACTGAAGGCTTTGCCTCCCATTCTACTTTTAAATATGCTGGGAACCACAAGTAACCCACTAGTCTGAGACCGAAGAGACACAATATGGGATTTTGAAATCACCAGATGTCTTAAAAATTGCAAATCGTTTGAGCTCCCAGCTTTTGGGACAAAACAAAACCAGCCCGTGTTACATGAATGAAAGTTGTCCATGTCTTACCCAGAGACTCTGTTAGTGTGGCTGCTGGAGTGTGCTGAAGAACATAATGAACTTCATCCTTCAGGTTCACAATAGCAGCAAACGACCCGTCACCGCTCCTATCATCTTCTTGCTCAAGAGAAGCACTTCTGTTGCCTGATGCTCCGAGCCTGACTGCCAGAGGCCAGTTCAGGGCAACATCCAGCACATAAAACCTGAGTGTCCTGTTGGTTTGACAACGGAGCCCGGTGATGCCGTCTCCCTCCGGCTGAGGGACAGAGAATGGAGGGATCAAGGAAGGAGGAACGCTTTGCATCTCTGACTCCTCTTTGGCTTGTGATTCATTGAGCTGAGGTTCTACTTTTCTGCAGCAGGCACTGTATTGACTAAATGGGCTGTAGCTGTCCAGAAAATTGCTACAGCCCATTGCGGTTGCACTATTAATGGACACGGGGGAAGGGAGCTGGTGGAGGCAGCAGCGTCTGAGATAAGTCTGAAATATGTCTCCTCCCTGGATCGAGGGAGGGAACAAGCAGTGCAGAGGTGAGGTGGCGAAGCTTGGCCACGAAAGGCTGAGGCACACCTCACACACGCTTGTGCTCGACTGTGGGAGGACAACTGACTGGCAGCACAGTGAGTGGAAGGAGAAACTTTTGTCCCAGCTGGAGTGGTGGCTGTTGTCACAGGAGTGGTAACGCACAGCAATGTCTGCAACCTAGAAAAACAAAATGGGTTAAAAATGATTTAATCTGCAGAACTTAAGGAGAATAATACAGTGTTTAACAACACAATTAAAGAATATACACATACAAAATAAGTTCTAATATAAAAAGCACCTGAGGAGGAGGAAGATGACGCTTAGACCCAGTAATATAGCCATCACCATGACACCCTTTCAAACTCCCTCAAATCCTTATGCTTGCCCGTTTTCCTGCTTCTTACACTGTAAAAGTTCCCTTTACCAGCGTACTTAATATTTATTTAAGTCTCAGTTACACGATCAGAGAAACTGACCTTTTGTTTTTTTATTTTTTTTAATACAGGGCAGCTAAATGAAGATGGGTAAGCCAGATGACATTAGCTCAGTGTATAATAATAGTATAGCTGCAAATCAAATCTGTAAGAGAATAAAGCGTTTCTGTCATTTCGAAAATGATATTCGTCTGATTTTTTCTGCCCACCTGCTGTAGCGCAGGGCTGGGCTGTGATCCCAGAGGATCGTGCGGCACAAACAGCAGCAGTGCAGGGCCTTTAGTCAGCTCCTCTTCTAACAGGCGAGACTTCGTTCCCGGGGGCTGCAGCCACTGGAGGACCGTCTCACGGTTTTCAAACACCCATCTACAAATGGCCTCAGACGTAAAGTTAAGGTCGTTCCTGGGAAAAATCTTAAACAACAGATGAATAAACATATACATCATACACATCATCACATCATACATCATATACATCCACAGTTTTAAAGTCATTAGTGTTTAATTGCTTTTTCTAGAAGAACCACATCTACAACATGTGTTGACGCTGCTTACCAAAGAGGAGTTAAATCTTCTGTGGAGAAAAACCGTTTCATCCTCTGTTAGTGAGATGGCTCCTGCCACCTGCTTGTTGGTCACGACCCCAAAACGTACAACACCACGGAAATCTGCACCATAAAAAAGAGAAACTTGTGACTTCAACCATTTATGTTCCCTTTATCGTAAAATGCACATTTAGGTTCTCTCTGCTTCAACCACTGCTATCTTTTCGTCAACAGCAGCCTCTCCTCGAATTCTAATCCCATGCTTGACAAGCCAAAATGTTTATCATGTTAACAATCAGCCTTGAAGCTGCGTGATTACTTCTTACCCCTTTTTAGGACCTGCAGGGCAGAGGACAGAAATGTGATGTATCCTGGCGGCTGGGGGGAAGAGTTAAACTGGAAGAAACCCACCACTCGAGGCTAGAAACGCACAAGACGCAGATCATTACAGTTGGCTGCACTCTGTGGGTGATTCAGTGACAGAAGTGTAAAGCTCAAATATACCTCGTGATAGGAGAGGAACTCTTCAACATGACCTCTTGATGGGAGGTAAGTCAGTGGTGTGATGACTCTGAGTACAAAACTTTCTATGTATGGAGCCAAAAATGGGCCTCTATACTCTATTGGCCCAAACCTGTGGAAAACACAGATGCTAATAAATATCAACAAATCATAATTAAATTACAATTAAGAAACAAAACATTCAAAGTGTTTCCCACAGTTTTGCATTAAAATACATCTTTAGCCTCTCTAAATATGCGCGTCTATGACTGAAGTTGTGTATGAACAGCCAAATACAAAAGTAAATAAAAAATTATTTCATTCATAAAAGAACAAACAAAACATACTGATTGCTTAAACTCATACATTTCATCATTTCTGGATATGAGCTCATTTTGAATTTGATGGCAGCAACAGGTCTCATATCAGTAAGATGGGGTCAACAAGAAGCTGGAAAAGTAAGTGGTACTAAAAAAAACCAACAACAACAAAAACATTTTTGTAATCTGCTTAATTTACAATAGGTCAGCAACATGATTAGGTATAAAAGAAAGAGCATCTTCAAGAGGCAGAGTTACTATTCCTATGCTATTAAAACTTCTGAAATAATTTTTCTCTACATAATACTGTGAAGACTTTCACTAGCCCACCCTCTGCGGGACATGATACCCTCAAAAAATTCAAAGAATCTGGAGAAATCTCTGTGTGCAAGCGAAACAGCCAAAAATCAATATTGGATGCTCATGATCTTCAGGCCCTTGGGAGGCGCTGCATTAAAAACAGGCATGACTCTGTCAAAGAAATCACTTCATGGGCTCAGGAGCACTTCCAGAAATCACCGTCTGTGAACACAGTTCGGCTATGCCATCTATCATGCAAAGAAGAAGCCACATGCAAACATGGTCTTCTCTGAGCTAACGTTTATGGGGCTTCCCAATTCGTCTTTGTCTGCTAAAGCTATTGAAAGCAAATTCCCACCATAAGTGAAGAGAAGCCCACCGTCTCACCTTCTATAAAACAGATGGATGACGGGGTAGTGATAGAAGCGGTTTTGCCTCCTGCATTTCCCCTGACTCCACCAGCAGTTAACAGCCACAAACTGCACCTGTGTTTGTGTGTTTGAAGAGACACATTAAGAAACAAAGATAAGCAAAGCGATGTGTAGACTACACACAAAATGGTGTAAAATCACACACTGTAATGACTCATGCACTTAACAAACACGCCCATAACAAGTCGACTATGAATTTGCATTTGAGAGAGAGACACAAGCTAAAAATGTGTGAGTGTGTATTTAAGCTGAAGGGAACAGATTTTATTAACTCAACTATGTCAGAGTCACTCTTTACTGCAGTCTGTCAAGCTGCTCCTATAAACTCTTCCCAACACTTTGCGTAACAAGCGATAACATAACATAACACGTGTCCACGTAAGAACAATCCCCAGCTTCCTTAGTCTTTGCCCAGTAAAGCACATCTAAATATTTGATGTTTAAACAATCCTGAGTGGTGGAGGTTCCGTTCACTTGTACCTGTTTGGCCAGCTTCTTAGCGACCTGCTGCACTTCCTGTCGCGCAGCCATAGAGTGAGCACACCATGGTGCATAGAAGAAAATAAAGGACACCTCGGCCACACTCCTGAGACGCTCCACCTGTGAAGAAAAAAACCCTTTCAATCTCACGGAGCACCACAAGTTTGATGACAACAATGCCAAAACATTTAACTGGAGCTTTAGAAACCCTCTTAGCTCTTTCCATTTGTTCTCTTTTACAATTTGAGCAAATGAAGTATCAAACAAAGGAAAATACAGTGAATGCCATTAAGTCTGAATCCTTGAATTTCACCTGGTCAAGCTGACCCAAGTAGAGATCCACCACCGGGGCGTCAGGAGAAAAGAAACGCACCGGAGGCCGAGCTGCTGCCACCACATTCTTAGCACGACTACAGAAATAAATGAGAAGAGTAACACTGAGGGGTGCAAAGAGATCACAGTCACATAATAAGATCTTGCCAGGTTATTAAATCCATAAGCTATAACTCTGTGTCACTTCCGCGAGATTCACTGATCATGGCAGTGTGTCCATCATCGGTTGATGTTAATGCTACAGGTAACCTCCAACCTTGCATACTACTCTGAGTTGCACATATTGGAATATGCATGTGTTAAATTTGGAAAATGAGAGTAGAAGCAATGGTATTTGGAAATGGAGGGTATGCTAAGCTGCATACGAGGGGAGGACAGGCTATATGTTTGCGTCCACAGAAAGCAATGTGAAAAACTGTGCTGTGTTAAACATTCTGCCTCCCCCAGAGGCTATGCAAAAATGTCTCTACATCGTTACAGGGGGAACAAAATAACCTCAACATGACGAGAAGCAGAATTTGCCTGGTATAATTTGCGTGGAGTCGGTTTCAAGTTTCAGTCTTTGTGGCAATTTTCGTCTCAGCTGGGTTTTCGAGAGGACGACTGAGTAACTGCTTAGCCAACAAGTCAATCGTTCAGCAACAGTTGCTACACTTTAGGATTTCAGCACTTTCATTCACCATAACTGAATGACAAGTGGTATAAGCTTTGAAGAACCGTAAAGTTGCAGAGACCAAAGCTGCAAGATGATGACAGCACAGTGTGTCAGGGCTGTAACCAGATATTACTATTTAAACATTAATAATCTCATTATGATCTCCCTGCAATCTTTTCTGGGTTTTATCTGAGAAAACTGTAAAAAAACGCCCAACATTTCCTTGAAAGATTAAGGCGATGTCCTTAGTTAATCTCATTGTCTACAGTACACGTCAGTTTTAGATTAGCAGCACTAATAATGAAGCCCTTGTTTGTAACTACTGTAGACAACGAGTAGTTCATTCACGACCTAACACTGTTACAACGCCGCTCTTCGCTCACCTAAATAACCATTCCACTTAGCTTTTGTGTTTTGAGGGGTCTCGTGTTAGCCTGGTCACACACAAGCAAGCTCACGCTGTCAGAGGATAAACAGAAGCTCGTGCCCATGTTTACCTGCACGTGAACTTGACGGCCAAAACGAGCAGGACGCCGAGCACGATAGCCCCGCAGAGCAGATCCGGTCTCCGGGCCATCAGAAACAGCACCTGCCGGAGAGACTGCCGCACCCGGCGCAACATTACAGCTTGTCGTCACCTCTCCGTCCCATTTATACGCCCCGACTACCGCTCAAAGCATCCATTTGCCTAACAGGGGGGGAGGAGGGATGGGTGAGGAAGACTGGTTCGACGGAAACAGCTAACCTGGATTGGACATGAGCAGTGCTGGTGTGTAAGGTGTTCAAATACGGTCAAGCCAACCTTTCTTCCACACGTAGACTTTTCACTTCCGCAACAACGACACCAGGGGCAGGATGTAAAATCGTCTACGCGAATAAAACGCGTAGTGCGTTTAACGCTTTAATGGCTGAGTTTAAAAAATGTCACTGACAGTTAGCTTACCGGATGTTAAAGATAAACGACACTAGTCGTAATAATTACAATATTTAAACTGGTCCTCGGTAAGCGATTTTATTCCTTTTTCCGTATGGCGCAAAACGCGCTCTTTTCAGACCGTCCCTACGTTGTTATGGCGACAGCCGCTGCTGCTACGACAGTCGTAAAACACTAGGGGGAGGTTGTTTTAAAAATGAATCGATAAAACTTTATTTAAAAGCCGCTTATTTACATCTAGAGTAGAATTATTTAAAGTGCCCGGGACTTGTGACTGATTGTGAGACTGGAGAAAACTCTTTTCTCGTGTTACTTTGCTTCGTATAAAAATCACTGCATCAAACTGATTCAGTTTATCCTAAAATAACTGAACACTGGGTGTGTAAGATTTATTTATTTTTATTAAAATGGGTCTCTATAGGTAAAACATCACCTGATAAAATGGGTTGTCTTAGTGTTAGAGCTACTTTCTTATTAATCTTCTGTTATTCATCCAAATATAGTAATGTTGTAAATTGTTAGACCATTTTATTACCTTATCGCTACTTACTCTTAATTATTGTGATATAATTTTAAGACATTGGCTGTCTTAAATGTCAAATGCTCATAATACAACTAAAACAATGTAGGACATGAGCATCACAGTTCTCAGGCTGTGAGCTTGACATTTCATATCTGGGATATCATGTCTGTAGAATATCCAGATCTAGAGTACTGTGCAAATATCTCAAGCTACTACTCTTTTCTTTATATTTTGCTATGAAAATGGGAAATGGGGACAGTGATTTATTGAAACATCCAGTATATAAAACAAAAACAGTTTGTACATTTCTAATGTATTTGGAAAAAAATACTGTGACCTTGATTTTTTTAATGCAATGTCTCTTGTTCTGTTCTGGCTAAAGATGATCCCACACTCCTTCAATAATGTTGAGGCCTGGGCTCTGGGAAGACGAAGAGAGGACTGATGGTGTTCCATTGTGTGTTTTTCCATCCATGTATGCTTTTACTGCACTGGAGCTGTGTATGGGATCATTGTCACCACGAAAAATTAAGGCATTGCTAAGATCTGTTCCAGATGGAATTGCATGGTGGATAAAAACGGTAGTTTTCTGTGTTCATAATTCACTCAATTTTGACAAGAACCCGAGCACCAAGGACTGAAATGCAGCTCCAAACCACGACAGAGGCCCCACCATGTGTTACTGATGGCTGTGCACACTTGCTTTATTTTATTAGGCCTGCCACTTCCTGTTTTTGTCTTCCACTTGTCCAGTTTCCTCTAATAGCACACCACGCTAAGACATGCCAGGTATTTAACTAGTAGCTCTTTGATTCAGTTAGTTGGCGCACATGTACAGTGGGGCAAAAAAGTATTTAGTCAGCCACCGATTGTGCAAGTTCCACCACCTAAAATGATGACAGAGGTCAGTAATTTGCACCAGAGGTACACTTCAACTGTGAGAGACAGAATGTGAAAAAAAAATCCATGAATCCACATGGTAGGATTTGTAAAGAATTTATTCGTAAATCAGGGTGGAAAATAAGTATTTGGTCAATAACAAAAATACAACTCAATACTTTGTAACATAACCTTTGTTGGCAATAACAGAGGTCAAACGTTTACTATAGGTCTTTACCAGGTTTGCACACACAGTAGCTGGTATTTTGGCCCATTCCTCCATGCAGATCTTCTCGAGAGCAGTGATGTTTTGGGGCTGTCGCCGAGCAACACGGACTTTCAACTCCCGCCACAGATTTTCTATGGGGTTGAGGTCTGGAGACTGGCTAGGCCACTCCAGGACTTTCAAATGCTTCTTACGGAGCCACTCCTTTGTTGCCCGGGCGGTGTGTTTTGGATCATTGTCATGTTGGAAGACCCAGCCTCGTTTCATCTTCAAAGTTCTCACTGATGGAAGGAGGTTTTGGCTCAAAATCTCACGATACATGGCCCCATTCATTCTGTCCTTAACACGGATCAGTCGTCCTGTCCCCTTGGCAGAAAAACAGCCCCATAGCATGATGTTTCCACCCCCATGCTTCACAGTAGGTATGGTGTTCTTGGGATGCAACTCAGTATTCTTCTTCCTCCAAACACGACGAGTTGAGTTTATACCAAAAAGTTCTACTTTGGTTTCATCTGACCACATGACATTCTCCCAATCCTCTGCTGTATCATCCATGTGCTCTCTGGCAAACTTCAGACGGGCCTGGACATGCACTGGCTTCAGCAGCGGAACACGTCTGGCACTGCGGGATTTGATTCCCTGCCGTTGTAGTGTGTTACTGATGGTGACCTTTGTTACTTTGGTCCCAGCTCTCTGCAGGTCATTCACCAGGTCCCCCCGTGTGGTTCTGGGATCTTTGCTCACCGTTCTCATGATCATTTTGACCCCACGGGATGAGATCTTGCGTGGAGCCCCAGATCGAGGGAGATTATCAGTGGTCTTGTATGTCTTCCATTTTCTGATGATTGCTCCCACAGTTGATTTTTTCACACCAAGCTGCTTGCCTATTGTAGATTCACTCTTCCCAGTCTGGTGCAGGTCTACAATACTTTTCCTGGTGTCCTTCGAAAGCTCTTTGGTCTTGGCCATGGCGGAGTTTGGAGTCTGACTGTTTGAGGCTGTGGACAGGTGTCTTTTATACAGATGATGAGTTCAAACAGGTGCCATTCATACAGGTAACGAGTGGGGGACAGAAAAGCTTCTTACAGAAGACGTTACAGGTCTGTGAGAGCCAGAGATTTTCCTTGTTTGAGGTGACCAAATACTTATTTTCCACCCTAATTTACGAATAAATTCTTTACAAATCCTACCATGTGATTCATGGATTTTTTTTTCACATTCTGTCTCTCACAGTTGAAGTGTACCTCTGGTGCAAATTACTGACCTCTGTCATCATTTTAAGTGGGGGAACTTGCACAATCGGTGGCTGACTAAATACTTTTTTGCCCCACTGTACAACTCTCCTCCATATCTCTCAAAGTGTTTTTTTTTTTAAGCATTTTCACAGATTCAAGCAAAGAAAGGAAAATAAAGTACACTTTTTTTTTTAAGGCAGGAAGTAACAAAGTGCCAAAACATACATACACAATTCAAGTTGTCTCTTATTCGTAGATGAAACACCGATTCATCATGCATTTTAAATCCTTGAATGGTTCCATAAGTAGTTTAACAAAAAAATCTATTCTCCTCTGAAAATGATCAGGTACATTGACTGGACTGCAAATAGGTTTTTGAAAGATCTTCAGAAAGCCTGGTGAATGACTGCTTAAGGTTCCTTTAAAAATTACAAGAAGGTGCCTTGAAAGCAAAATAAAGACATGAGTGAATCAAAACTTTTGCACAGTACTGTAAATTCAGTTATACCTCTAATGTTAATGGCAATTTATGGCATTCGTTTTTAGCTTTTACTCACTGACTTTTGATAGCTGATTGTTGATACAGTCTGTATCAGAACTTTGATGACTTAAACAAAAGAAAATGAAAAAAAAAAAAAAAAAAGCACTGAACTCAAAAACATCAAATATATATATATTTATTTTTGAAAAGTGAATTTCTTCACTTTGATATATTCTGTTCATGTGATGAGAAATATTTTAAAGATTTTTAGATATTTGATTAACTTATGTCTCATGAAAATCATAAACCTGTATCTCACATTATTAAAATATTTCCTAAGGTAGCAAAGGATTTTAAATCCAGACCCTTTAAAAATGTTGTTTTTGCATCTCAGCAGTTGGTTGAGGCTCCTTTATCAGAATGAATCAGAATTTAGAAAGTAATTTATATGTGGCTATGAATACTCCTTCAGCTTTAATATAAATCTTTATTTTGTAAAGTCTTATTCAAGAACAAAAGAGCACAAATAATAATAATAATAATAATAATAATGATCATCACAGTGTAAGATTTTTCAGTGCAAATGAACATGTTTAAAAAAAAA